CGACGATATTAATAGAAAATATTTGATAATGTATTAGATATAATTTATAGAAACTACAGAATAGCCACTGTTTAACCAACTACATTTAAATACATGTAATTAATGTCTATAAAAAAAAATAAAGTAGAAAAAGAACCAACGTTTGTTTTATTTTTGTAGTCAAACCCAAACCCTCAAAAATTAATCTTTATATTTGAAGAATTACGAGATTTTTTAAAAAGATGTTGCTTTCCTAAGGCCGCCAGATGGCGCATTGTCCAGAAATAACCTACACAATTTCCTATTTATCCGGTAATATATATTCTTTATCTATGTTGATAACAACTGATCAAAATGACATTGTTGACATGTTAGAGGATGTTGTGTCAGAGCAGTCAGTGTAACTTACGGTAGTTGTCTAAAAATGACAGATGCCAGCATTATTTAAAATTGAAAAAAGTTAAAATTATAATAATGTAACAGTATCAACCATCAATGTTGTAGTCTGTAATGTGAATTAATCATATAGCTATATTGGAAACATTGAAAAAATTGGTTTTTTAAAAATTAATGTGGGTAAACTGGAGTTTATGAAATTTTGTAGGATCGATAGGTAACCAGCTATACATGTGTATGGATTTATTTATTCTAAGCTGAAGATTTTATCAAAAGGCCCTGTATATTTCCCCCTTTCTCTTCACAATAATCTCTCCCATGTTACTTGGCGCTTTCCTTCAATATTATAGAAGTCCTCCGATTTTATAGCAAAAGCAAGATCGTCAGAATATGGGACGTGTCTTGTGTCCTTCGTTAGTGACTGGTCATTTGTGTAAATAATGAACAGAACCAGGACAATTATGCTTCCTTGGGGAATATCGTTTCATATTTGTGCATTTGCTTTTCTTTCAATGTTAAACTCCAGTTTTTTAGCAAAGATTCTACGAACTCATTAGATTAGAGTCATTTAGAGTGTAATATCTTCTAGATGACATTACCCACACAGTGTTTGTGGTTTATGGAATTGTATTGTTATCTACTTGCTTCCGAAACACTGTCCTAAAAACCTTTGTACGGAGATATTAAATTTTATGCTCTATATAATCGAATACTTTTTCGAAATTAACGAAAGTTATACTCTGTAACAGTAGTATCAGCTTGTATATAAATACAGTATATAAATCAGCTTGTTTTCTTGATTAATGCCTATCAAAATTTGCCATTTGTATGGTGGTTAATCTTTTAGCGAATACATTATACAGAACATTGAAAGAAATTATAGGACCATAGCAATAGGAATAGGTTTTTTATTTTATAAGAGTATTAGCTAGTTTAAGTGCTTTGATTAAACTAGTAGGGGAATCCTTATACTTTTATAATAACCTTTTAAAAAACACTAATCAAATATTAATTAGAATTCCCTCTTGGCAATTATTTGCATTCAATTTATTCATTCTCAAAATGAAAACAGCTGTTATGGTTTTCGAGGAATCCTCATTCTTGGTATAATAAAACAAAAACACTAGAACATTCTTGACGTTATGCAATAAGAATATCTTAATAGTCAATAAATTTTCAAAATTCCCGGCCATTATCTGGTGGCACAAAGGTGCCGCATCGGACAGGATCAGACTGGTGACAATTGGCACAATTTAGGATCATTATAACTATTATAAACCTTTACTACACTAGCGATGACGTCACATCACCATGTTTTGATTAGATTTTCACCATAACACACCAAATTTTCTTTTATACTTCAGCAGAAGTTCATTTTAAGCTATTCTTGGAAATTATGTAGTTTATTTTATTGAATAAATATAGTGTTTGTACCAAGAATTCTAGCTTTACATTGTCGTATGTACTTCTGAAATAGATGAATAGATGATGTGTGTTAGTGTTATATACACCTGTTTTTTCGAGTGTCTGTTGTAGAACAAATACCTGGTCTATTGCTGACTTCCGGTTACAGAAGCCCAGTTGGTATTTGCCAACTATTTTTTCAGCGTGTGGTCTAAGCCTTTCTTAAATGATGTTGGACATTATTTTGTGCGCTGCGTTCATGCTGCGTGATTCCACATTCTAACTGCTCTTCTTTTTATGCAATGGTACAATAATACCGCTTTTCCACTCTGCTGGTAACTGCTTATTCAATCATCTCTTTGTTATCAGTACACTCCCTCTCCTTCAGTAGCTCCAATCTCGGTTGTTATTTAATTAAAAAAAAAAGAGTTACCAGCTGAAGTCCGTTTGTAGAGGTTTACCCTCCGGACGTTGGTACTCACGTAATGCATGGGTGTATGTTACCTGAAGTAAAAGATAATAAAATATTAAACATCATTAATTTTTAACAACAATATGTACAATCGATGGTAACTTTATTTACTTTAAATTACCTTACTATTTTGGTGGCTCAGGCATGGAAACCTGCTTTAAACCTGATGATGGAATTATTATTCCGAAAACGTTTGTTATTTTGATGTAACCCTTTTAGGGTTTTTTTTAATATACATACTTACAAAGATTAAACCTCTTTTTGTGATACATGGTATACAGCCAGCTGCAGGAATTTATTTTCCTTGTGAATTTTGTTCTTTAATTTGTCTACTGCTGTTCTTATCTAGGCTATTGTTGGTGGACTCTTTTCTCTGTTGTAGTTGTCTGCGTGGTCTAATGGTATATCAGTGTTCGCCTCTCTCCTATCTCCCCCAAGCTTTTTCTTAACATGGTCTGTCCATCTTCACAGTATTTCTTGCTGCGCTTTCAATACATTAACCTCCTTATCTCTACATATCGTTGTTGTAGGTTTAAATTCGTCTCTGTTTTTATCCAGTTTCTGGTAAAACTTTCTTATATTTGTTTACTTACTTAGTTCTTTAGTTTTTGAAGTTCTTTGTTCATATTTCCTCTCTTCCGTCCTCGGTGGATTTTCTTTTCTTCTTTAGGTAGTTTTGTATATTCCTCTTCTGCTTGTCGAGTTCTATGCCCCTGTTGCATTAGTAAATACGCTTTCTTTTTTCTTTTGTTTTATAATCTTGGTTTTTCGTCAAACCAGTCATCCGTTCTTGTTCTTATTTATTTACCTTTCATTCCTAGTACTTTTCCAGCTGCTTATTCTACGATGTTACTGCACTTTTCTCAAACCCAATTTATTTTTTCATATTTAAGTCTATTATTAAGTCCTACATTGTATGGTTCATGTTTAGAACCATTTTTCTTTTTTATGTTTAAATTTGTGGCCCTTACCCTAGTTTCGACCAGGTAATGATCGGCATCCGGATTTGCTTTTCTCCTGGTAATATCTTTTTGAGTACTCAAAGTATGTACTCAATCACCATGTTCAGTGATCTTGATAGGTTTATTAACCTATTGTTGTCAAACACATCTGGCTTGCCGACCATGCTGTACTACCACTGACAATGAACAGTATTTACAAAATGTAATAGATATAATTGTGTGTATCAACACTATCTCCTTGAAATAGGGTTAAAGATGCAATTGGCGACAGAACTTGTCCGAAATGACCTTCCTGGCAAAGATGCCATACGACATTATTATTACGATTATATATACGAAGTTAGGCTATTAAATAACGGGACTGAGCGAGCAGAAGGCGTCCTAGAGGGGAAAAGTGGGAAACGAATGCAGTACGAAAATTTGGCAACGCTGCGAGAGCGAGTTTGTAAAAAACGGCCGGAGTTGTGGAAAAACAAGCCGTGGATCTTGCACCAGGACAACGCACCTGCCCATAACGCGCTGTCTGTGAAGAGCTATTTAGCCGCTAGAGGCATTTCAGTGCTAAAACACCAGCCGTACTCGCCTGAATTAGCACCCTGTGACTTTTTGCTGTTTCCGAAGATCAAGTCTGTCTTAAAAGGAATCCGGTTCGAGTATATGAAAGAGGTGAAGCGAAAAACGGAGGAGCTTCTAAAAAATCTAACGAAAAAAGACTTCCAGCATTGCTTTGACTAATGGAAAAAACGAATGGAACGGTGTGTGGCGAGGGAAGGGTAATATATTGAAGTAAGCATTCGATTGCAGAATAATGTTTTAAATAAAATTCTTTTTCTAAGTAGTGTCGTTATTTAATAGCCAGACCAGATCACTTAACTATAAATACATTTGACAATGAAGACAATATTGTTTCATCACGATAATACTCAGCAAAACACTTATCTGCTTTTGCCATTATAAATCAACTAGTTAAAAATCGAGTTATTACTTTGTCAACCCTATTTAATAGACATATTAAATAGAGTTAAAGTCTTCACTACTTCACCAAACAAAAAATAAATACATTTGCAGTAATGAAAAATTCAATCAAGGAGAGTACTAGAAATACGTTGAAAGGTACAAAGTAACAACATTAAATGTTGATGTTTTAACGAAGATTTTTTTTTTTAATCAATTTGATATACAGCAACACTCATCCGTTTAAGTCCAACCCTGTCTCCTGACATTTGTGGTTATGAATTACCGGTCGGCATACCCCACTGAAGTCCAGGTGAATATTTGTTTAATCCATCTTCAGGTACTTTAAAATGGACCATTTGCATTTTATTTAATAAACGTCAAGTGCTTCCTTCAGACCCTTTGTTAAAGAATTATATTTTATTATCAGAAAAATTACAGTTTTATGAGGTTATTATTTCAGTGTTAAGAGCACTCAGGTATTTTGGCATTGTGTTAAAGAAAGGCCGATAATTTCAATAATACTTTAGCATTATCTGCAGTTATATACTGGTTGGGTGTTAAAAGCAAATAGTAAACGTAAAACTTTTAATCCCACGTTCTTTTTCATTATTCACAACTTTAAGCAAATTTCTCTTTAATGGTTCGATTGAATGGTCGAGAGATTATAATAATTGAGACATATATGGAACAGAATTATCACGAAATTAAGAAAAACTATCCCAAAAGTCAGAGAACAAAGAATATCGTATAAGAAATATGGCGTGACTTCCAGAAACTTCTAGACAGACTTGACAGCAAAACTTCAAAGCGAAAATCAAGATGACATCAACATGGAGTTGGGAATAATATACGAAGCTATGAACGAAGCAGCTCAAAAGCGGTTAGGTCCAGTAAAGAAGGCGAGGTATAAAGAATGGTTTGATGCCGATTGCAAGAAAAGCATTAAACAAATAAAACGAGGTAAGACATGGATAGATAGATATATGAATAAAAAGTTCCAAGAGATTGAAGAAAATTATATTAATAATAATGTGAGAAACTTCTACTAGGGGATGAAAAGAATCAGTGACCAAGGTCCAAGAAATTAGAATTACTACAAGAGAAACTAATAGGAGATAACGAGGAAAAGCTAGATAGATAGCAGGAGAATTTAAGAGAGCTGCGTACTGAAGAACTTGATAGAAATAATGAGGAGCAAGTGGAATGGTAGGGAAAGTCAACGACATGAAGAAAACAATGGAGACTCCCACCGTGGAAGAAGTAAGAGAAATCATAGATAGCATGCAAAACAATAAAAGTGCAGGCAGCAATGGTATTCCTGTAGAACTAATCAAGTAAGCGGGAGAAGCACTTATAACGCGGATATGTAGCCTGCTGACGAAAATCAGGAAGCGAGAGGAAATTTCAGAAGTACGGAGAGGGGTAACAGTATGTCTATTCATAAGAAGGAAGATCAAGCAGTGTGCGAAAACTATAAGGGTATTCTGGATATATGATATAAGGTACTCGCCAAAGTCATAAGAAGTAGACTAGAAAGGCACTTTAACGGGCAGGTTGGGAATTACCAGGAAGAATTCAAAAAGGTTAGATCTACTATAGACCAAATATTCGTGTAAAAAATAATTCAGAGTAGTACGTAAGAGCAACAGTTAAAGCTAAACGTCTTCTGTATAGACTTCAAACAAGCTTACAATTCTGTGATAAGGTGTCTGTATCATGCCTTAAGAGTACTTGGAATTTCGGAAAAGATGATCATACTAGTCAAATGACCTTAATAAAGACCGACAAGAGAGTAAAGATAGTTTAAAGCTAAAATACCGTCTAACAACAAAGTTTAAAGTAAAAAGTGGACTAAAGCAGAGAGATCCGCTGTCCACAATAGATACTCTTCAGTTTTTTGCTGTTGGCAATAATGAGAGAGATTGAAATACAAACGTATGATTTAGGACAATAAAAGCCAGATCCTGGCCTTTGCAGATGATGTAGTGGTAATGGCAAGAACTATAGAGGAACTGCTGATGATTTTCAAACTCTTTGAAGCGAGGGCTAAACAGTCTGGACTGATTATTATTGAGCATTAAACAAAGTATATGGAAATGCGGCAGACCAGATATAAAGACACACAACTGAAGACTACCACAAACATCGAGAGTAAAGGGGAATGCTTAAAAAAGGTGACGATGTTTGAGTATCTAGGAGTAACCTAACAAGTAAAGGGGAAGAAAGCCAAGAAATTAAGAAGCGGATTTCGAACGGAAGGAAGACTAAATCTTTTTTGGGAATCTAAGTGTTTCGACTATTTATCAATTATTTATCCATTTTTATTTATTCTAATGCCGATTCTACTTACAAAAGGTTTTTTATTATTTAAAGAAGTTATATACAGCGTGTCAATTTTAAAACTTACAATAGGCTATATATCACGAACAAAAGCTGATATCGAAAAATGCTTTAAACCGTTTCTAGGATAGTAAGAGGGAACTAAAATGACATGAAAGAGAACTCACTCCTATCAACCCCCTAGGTCCTATCCACGACAACCAAAAAAGTTTAAATCGCAAACCCCTACTTACGATACATCATTGAAAAGACTACAAAAAATGCTATCCAATGGTATTAATATTAGTTATACAGGGTGAAGCAATAATTGCGAAACTTTGGCTAAAATGGAAATTTTATTGAGGTTTTTGTTGATTCTGTTGATGACCCTGTATAATTATCGTTTAATGATTATACAGGGTGTTAGTATTAGCCGACTTACTATGACATTTGTATTTGTAATGGTATTGCAAATTATCCGGACTATTATTTTTAATGATAAGTGAACGTTAGATTTTTTTTTTTGTTAAATAAAAACTTAGTTTGCCGTTTTTGCAAAACAATTTGAAAACATCTCTTTTTTGGGTTCTATCAGTTCAATATTTTTTGGTTTAGTTGAGAATTTTAAATGTCATTAGTTTTCATCATTTGTACGATCAGTACTGTCATTCAGCTGTAGTTGTCACGATGGTTTACAGTATACTTGAACGCGTGGAGATCATTTTCATATTTGCACCTCAGAACCTTATTTGCGAACAGCTCAAATATTTAATAAAAAACACCCAGACAAAAATGTAAGTCTCATGTTTAGATAAACGGGATCAGTGCAAAATAAAAAAAAGGATGCCCCAAGATTACTGAATGAAGCATCCCAAATTTAGGTTCTTGGAAATTTTGCAATAGAGCCTACTGCATCAACATGTCAAGTATCTGCAATGACAGTATGTACTTTCACATGAGTCGGTTAGAAAGTTGTTAAAATTTCACCTGGACAAAACACAAATTCTTCAAGAACTAGGCGATGATGATCCATACCGACGCATGGAGTTTTGTGAACTTATGACTGAAGGAATTCGCGTTGAACCGAGAATCCTAAAAAATATTTGTTTCGCTAATGAATGTACTTTTATGCTGAATGGTAATGTAAATAAACAAAACTGTCGGTACTGGAGTGATGCGAACCCGCATCGATTCAGAGGTCATACTCAATATCCTGAAAAACTGAATGTTTGGGCAAGAATATTAGTCGATGCTATAATTGGCCCCTTGTTCATACGAGGCAATTTAAGTAGCGACATTTATCTCGAAATGATAGAAAATACCATCGAACCTTTAATTGTTTATGAATTAGAGAACCAACGGGATGATCAAGGCAACCTAGCTCTAGATAAATATTTGCTGCACTTCCAAGATGGAGCACCTCCTCACTATGCAGTTCCAGTTAGTCACTGGTTGGACACTAATTATCAGAACAAATGGATTGGAAGGAGAGGTCCTATTGAGTGGCCACCGAGGTCACCAGACTTACCGTTACCTGACGTTTTTCTATGAGTTTACTTCAATTCAGTTATTTATAAAGCTCAACCTGCGGCATTTGGAGAATTGCGCGAAAGAATTAAGCAGGCATGTCGCGCTATTAACAGAACATTTGCCAAAGTTCGTGCAGAATTTAAAAATAGGCTGTATTCTTGTTTACAAAACAACGGAACCCAATTTGAACATTAACTTAATTGGCATCTTTAACAAATTTGTAGTTCAAACAAAAAAAATTAAATTTTCCATTTAAGCCAATGTTTCACAAATATTGCTTCACCATGTATATTATAATATGTTAACCCTTACAGAGAATGTGTAGAAATGCAAATAAATTTAATAGTAATGAATTTTTTCATTTATCACTAAGTACTATTAAGAATAAGATCGAAAATACCTTTTTGTGTAATCACATTGTGTTTAATTAGTTTAAGCTAAATTTAAGTTGATTTGTAAAAAAATGGCAAGTCCGTAAATAAACATTACATTACTACATATAATTATTATTTATACCATCGGATAGCATTTTTTGTAGTTTTTTGTAGTTTCCAATTTAAACTTTTTTGGTTGTGGTGGGTGGGGCCTAGGGGATTAATGGGGGTTAAGTTCTCTTTCATGCCATTTTAGTTCCCCTTTACTATGCTAGAAAAGTTTCAAGCATTTTTCGATATCAGCTTTTGTTCGTGAGATATGGCCCATTGTAAGTTTGAAAATTGACACACTGTACCTATAACATTTTATATACAACTTCATCTAATACCAATGCGCGTCATTGGCGTCATAGCCCGTGACGTCACATGATACCAATACGGAGTATTTAGGCGGTAGGTGTGTTCTTTTTTAGATTCACTTTGCCGAGTACACTGGCATTACAGCCACTAAACATATTTTATTATACTTTATTTATATATTTTATATATTTTATATTTTATTATAACAAAAATAAAAAACTTTGTAAACTTATTATACATTTGATTATAAAATGTACATATTTAGTTGCCAAAGAATTACTTTTTATTTGTTCAGTAATTTGGACATTAGACTAAGTTAGTTATATTTTGTAGGATGTATTTCAATTATCCATATTGTTACATTAAATTTGATTAATTAAAGATTGTTAAAGTATGCCAATATTAAACACATCAATTTACTTTTGATGTATAAATTGAAACAATTTTATAGACATTCATTAATAACAGCATATTTCATAAAACTAGATAACTTAACTTACAGTATTGAGAAACAGAAGAAGAACTGTCACATGCTAACCTACATCTGTCAAATTTACCACTAAAACTAATAGATAAAACATAAAAAAAACTCATTGTGCCCAAGACTGCGATGTAGTGCATTAAAGCCCTTCCCCCCTTTTTAAATTCAATGTTTGTTTCGTCCCTTCTAAGTGTTTTCTGTTTTAGTGTGTTTAAATTATACTTAATTGTTTGTATTTTAATATTTTATTTACTTGACTTTCCAATAATTAACTCATTGCCAATAGAACTTTATCAAAGTAATTTGATAACTACAAGTTGGAAAATAATTGCACACCAACACAATTTTTACATCTAAACTTATTAATTGTCATAAAACTGTCACCTTCAATAAAACAATTACTCAATAAATAACACACATTTCAAAAATATATCTCCCGAATACGTATAAATAGCTTTTAATAACACAATGGTATATTACATCACTTACATTTAACAAACAATCTCACACATATCTCTTCTTCATTGGATCAAATCTATCTCCTCAAGAACTTCCTGTTTACTGTCAAACAACTGCAATAATAGAATTGAGTTCTCCATTCAACAATATAAAGTAGTTTCAACCATGTTCTACCATCCATCTATTAAAGAGTACCGGCATGTAAGTAATGTTTATTTTATTTATTTATTTGCTCATTTATTAATTTAATACAATCGAAGAGACTATTTTATAACAATTTGTGGGCCTTACCTTGTCTGTTTAAACTTTTAAAATTTTATACCTTTTATTCAACTTACTCATTTAAATAAAACCACAGACATGTAATATTGGCATAATTATTGTAAATTTACAACACCTACTTTGTTTATCGTTATTAGACAACACCCTAATATGGG